ATATTGCGATAGTATCTTAGAAAAATCAATTAGGGCGCAGGCGAGCTGGTATAGGTTTACCATTTTTTTAGACCACCTGAGACTGGGTGGAAGAAACACGAAGACGTTTCAAACACAACTAACCACTTTTTTTTAGTGCTCCCTCCTTTCGTACATCCTGAACCCAAGATCGTAACTACAAAGAACACCCAAAATATGACACCAAGGCTAAACGCCTTGTCCTCACAGACACGCTTGTCTTGAAAGAAAATGGATCACCCGGAATTAACAAAAGGTACACACATCAAAACATCGGCCGAAGGGACCATGCTTTGACCTCGCAGCCACTCTTATCTTTACAAAAAAAAAAAAAAAAAAGAACGGACAAGCAAACCACGCGGAACCGACTGCAGTTCTAACCCATCGACCTGTTACACCTTATTTGTTTGTTTTTTTGGAGTGGCCTGGTACAGCAGTAGTATGCAAAGAGGTCCATGAATTCGAAAGGGTTGTAAAAGAGACAGTAAAAATTAGGTAGATCGACAATTGCATAAACCAGGCGTCTATGCTTCTTAGTAAAAGTGCGTAAGCTGTTCTGAAAGTATGAATTGAACAGGTCCTGTGTTTTTCGCGAGATGTAGCCCCTTCGTCATGATCCTGTTCCAAGTAAATGCGTACGTAAAAAAAAAAGGAAGAAAGGTGTAACAGGTCGTTAGGTCTGAACTGCAGTCGGTTCCATGTGGTTCGCTCGTTCGTTTTTTGTAAAGACAAGAGTAGGTGCGAGGTCAAAGCATGTTGCCTTCGGCCGATGTTTTGGTGTGTGTACATTTTGTTGGTTACGGGTGATTAGTTTTTCTTTTTTTTTAAGATAGGTATGTCTGCGAGATCAAGGCGTGTCCCCCTTGTGCCTTTGCTTGGAGTGTGTTCTTTCTGGTGACGATTTTGGGTTCAGGATGTAAAAAGGAGGGAGCACTGAATAAAGTGGTTAGCTGAGACGTCGTCGTGTTTCTTCCACCCAGTCTCAGGTGACCTAAAAAAAGTATCTTAGAGATATTTTCGAGTATCTGTATCCCTGCATGGAGATACATTTGAAAATGTATTTGTATCTCTCTAGTCAATTACATTTAAGATGCTTCGCTTGTATCGCGATATTTAGCCAGACTTACGTATCTCCTTACACATTTTGTACTTTTTAAAATAAAATTAAAAGCTAAAAACATCTGTTTGGTGCTAGTTCTTTAGTAATTTGTAATATGAACCAGCCCTATAACATAATGCATCTCAGTCACCGACAATAAAAAGTAAAAAATAACAAAAAACACACACACAAAAACTGAGGTATAAAACGGGCAAGAATAACAAAATTAGCTCCACCCCACAATGCCCTCCACTGTTTTCAGTTTAGCAGAGAGAACGCTGTAAAGGAATTGAGCAAAGAAAAAGTGCGGTCCTGTTGTTAAATCTCCCCACATTATGGGTGGCTCAGAAGCTTACAATACGACAGTTTGAGATACGCTCTCACGGCATAAACAGATTCATTTCAGGCCGACGCCTTTTGCCAAGCATGGCACAACCTCTTTACCGTTTGTAAATATGTGGTTCACCAGGGGTGACATGTTTTCTTTAGCAGCATTAATGATAAATAGTTTAAGGCAAGAGGAACAGCATAAAATGGCACAAAACAAAGAGCACAAACATAAATTACCATTCGTATCCACCACGAACTACACCCTCCCCACCTAGCACTAATGGCAACAAATGTATTTCTATAAGTATATGTATCTGTATCCGGAATACTTTTTCGCCGGTTTTGCAGAAGTATCTCATGGATATCGTGTTGCATAAAAGAGAAATGGATCTCACTATCTATATCTTCGGCCTCAAAACACATGTATCTGGGCATTCATATTCACGAATACTTTTAGGAGTATCTCTGTCCAGCCATGCCTGGAAACAACTTCTAATCAATAAGCACATTCATGAATAGTTACGACATTATTAGTAGTTGAAATACGGCATCACATAAAGTGCATACCCTAACAATACAAGGTTCAGAAGTCTAAGCGTGAGCTACTTACGAAGGCCTAGATAATTACATGTCGAATTACACGGATTGTGTAGAATATGTGTTCAGTTGACAATAACCATATATCGCGTTTAATGTACCGTTGGTTGTTGTGCCCGGGCAGCGATATAGAGCTGCTGAAGGAATTAAAAGATGTCTAGTTGTACGTGAGCCTAATGAAATATAATACTTTTCCTATATTGTAAACAAATCACGTGCTATACTTATATTTCTTCTTCATTTTAATATTTTGTAAATTTAGATATATATGGCAATCATTAATTTTTTTCCATATTTAACTGAAGTTTGATTCTTACCCGTGTAGTGCTTTCTCTTAAGCGATTTAAATAGTTTTTACCTATACTCGCATTCAGTACCATTTATCCGATACAATTTTAATTGTACACACCCTCTTCCTGTTTCTCATAAACGCGCTCTATTGACCTTCTGCATTACGAAGTTAAATACTGTGAGCTAAAAGAGGGGGGACAGAAGTTTTATTCCGTAAACATGCCTGGTATACTGAGACGAAGATGCATATATATAGATGTGAAAAAAAAAAACTCCATGCCAGAAAGAAGAAAATAGGAGCAAAAGTACACATATGAAAACGAAAAAAGCTGTGGCATGTGTGATTTGCCAAACAGCATATGCACGGTTGGTGAAACCTGTCTGATAGAGTGCATTGTAGATCAAGGTGCTAAGATTAAGTCATGCCCGATAAATCAATGTGGCTTTGTTGAACATCAGCGCCGTAAATAATCGCAGTCACACCTGTACGAGTAGTCCTCTTTTCGCAGTTTTAGCGTGGAGAATACTTTCAATTAATAAAGAACGAACAAAATCGACTTTATGCTCTGGTTGCATTTCCGGTGTTCACACATGCGGCACTCATACATTTCAAGAAACGTCGACCATTATGACTGATTTTCAACATTACAGATTGACCTCCAGGCAACACTGTGGTTTCACTTAGCGTGCATTTTATGATCGCGCAATCCTATTTTTATCATAAAACTACCTATGTGAGGCTGCAGCTCAAACTTTAAATCTATCGCGATGAAAGGCGTTTTCGTGTCTTTTAATGGCAATAAAGTCCGACAATCAACATTTCTATGGACTCCATAAAATCGGCAAGAAAACAAAATAACACAATAAAATAATATGTGAAATGCATTGCGTGTTGGATAATCAACTGTATTATAATTCCGCAAGTGAACAAAGGTGACATGCAGTTAAGGCGCTCAAGCGTAATTCCAGATCTACAGTTGCCATGACACCATTCAGACAGAGTAGCTCTTGAAACGAGGTTTTGGTAGTTTTCTCTTGTTCACGTGTCCTATACTACTCGCAAATTACGAAGTTACATCCCATTAATATACAAGATACAATGTGTCACAGCATATTTGTCCCTTTGACCTTGAAAAGAAAAAGCAAGAAATATTCACTTTGACACTTTTATTGCCCACAAAATTCACTTCTAGCTTCCTACATTTTAGGGTCTGTCATCCGTTCCATTTTGTATATTATTGTTTACTCCTTCAGTAGGCGTCGAAAAATGAATTAGTCTCTACGAGTTAATTAAAAAAAAACAGGGCAATAGAGTAAGGTATAATGAACAAGGGGATTTTCCGATTCTTGATAAGAGAAGAGGAGTATTGATTGGCTTATGAGCGGATTGGGTTGTGAACCTTCTTGTTCAAGAAACGCAGAAATAAGCGTTCAGTTTTGAGTAAGCGCTCATCTGTCATGCTTGTCTTTCTTTGGTTCCTGTTTTTTGTGCGGTATGTTTCTCATATACATACCACCACGTGAAAGATGAAGAAGAAAGCTTCTCCGTTAATCTAGAAGACTCGCGTATGCTCTTACGCCAAGCGTGAAAGATAAGGACGCCAGAACGATGCGTAGTCAGTCTCGCCCTCGCTCTTTCCCGAACATTCTAGGTCGAATATTTCAAATTACGAGCATAGTAGATAAAGAGCCGCGTATTGCCGATCTATTCGCTGATTCTTTTTCCCAATAGCCAGCTGTCGCGCCGACGCACCGTCTTTTGCTGCCGCCGCCATCGACGCTTTGGGCTGCTTTCTTGACGTGTGTTCTTTTTGTTGTTGTTTCTGGATCAAGTCCGACACCATAAAATATTTAGTTGATTTTGGTTTTTCCTGCCTCATCCTCTGGCGTTCGTGACAGGCCATGAGGCAGAAGAAAACCTCTTTTGAGAGACAGTGAAGTCGGACATTCAACAGTTCTATGGATTCCATAACATTGGCAAGCCAAGAAAATAACACGACTAAATAACCTGTTAACTGTAGAGCGTGTTGGATATTCGACTGCACTCTAATTCTGCAAGTGAACAACGGTGACATGCAGTTAAGGCACTCCAGCGAAATTCCAGATCTACAGTTGCCATGGCACCATTCAGTCAGAGTAGCTTTTGAAACGAAGTTTTGGCAGTTTTCTCTTGTTCAGATGTCCTACACTACTCTCAAACTGCAAAGTGACATCCCATTGATACGCAGGATACAAGGTGTCACAGTACATTGGTCATTTTTACATTGTAAAAAGAAATATAGAAATACTCACTTTAAGACTTTTATTACACACGGAATTCGTTCCTAGCTTGCTATCTTTTAAGGGCTCTCATGCGTTCCATTTTGTATGTTCATGTTTTATCCTTCAGAAGTGTTGAAAACTTGGTTAGCCTGTACGAATTCATTATAAAGACATGGAAGAGGGTAGGGCATAATTAGCAAGGGAGTTTTCCATTTCTTGGTAGTAGTGGAGGAGAATCGATTTGCTTTTGAGCCAACTAGATTGGGAACATTTTTGTTTAAGGAATGCAAAAAGAAACGTTCAGTTTTGAGTGAGCGCTCGTCTGTCATGCGTGCCTTTCTTTGGTCCCTGATTTTGTGTCATCTTTTTTATATACATATAATGTTCATCCTTCTTCTTTCAGGCGACGAACACATGAAGAGATTCTTCGCCAACTACTACAAGAAAAGACCGGACGAAGATCGAGAAAAAAGGTCCAGTCAATGTGGTAAGAAAATATTTCCGTTAAGAATAATCCCTGTTACACTGTAATTTTGGTCGTTGCCCAACATTCTGTATGCGTGGTTACCTATTGAATCGGCCCTAATTGTACAAATTCCCAAATTAGCAAAACAGCTTGAATAAGGCTGGATGCTCCAATTTCGCTTTCCTCACCGTTCGTCTCAAGTCCCATTTTGAACGGGCGCTTAATTTTGTTTGAATTTTAATTTTGGCGTGCAGTTCAAATTTGGAGGGACTCTGGATATGCTTGATTAGATCTCAAGCTTGATCCCTAAAATTAACCGTCTTGCTCATACTTCAGGAATCTGGCTCATAGCTTTGTGGCCAAAGAATGAAGTTAATTGTGATTGGGCACCTTATCGTGCTACATTAGTTTGAGATATTCTACATGAATTATTTTGAAGTGGAATAAAAATAACGTAGGCGCCACTTTTTCGTTGCTCTTTATTAGCTTTATAGGGTGCTGAAGGATGCCCGTTTGTGGCCGCTATCCAGAAAGCGTGCCGTACTACTTGTTTATTCTGCCAGACACTTTCTTTTTTTTTCCAGGTGTACTAAAATAACTAGTATATATTTTTTTAATTTTTACTTATTTATTTGACACCTCGTTATTTGGGCTGAAAGAGGATGGAATTAAAGACTTCTTCTATATAGGAACACAAGGGGCTATACAAATGGAAGTTAAAAAGGGCAACGAAATCGAATACACAAACAGTCAACTTACACAATTTTAAACTGAGCGAGGGTATACACATGCAAACAAAAGCATTTACGCTAGGCAGAAATGCAATCCATGCGTGCAGTCCATGAATGCAGTTAGTGTAAATGTAGAGTTCAGAATGTGCATAAGTACAGTCATTATTGGATAGCGAGAAATGGGGCTAAGTTTCGACATGTTAATGCGGTGCAAGATGAGAGTTCATAAAAACTCACGTTTTGTTCTGCGCCGCTTCCCATGCTGCTAGGGAAATGAGGGTTTGGATAAAAGCCTCGCTGGTCTCGTAAAAAAAAGTCCAGGGAGGAATTGTTTGTCTGTAGAGTCGGTATGCTTTTAGTCGCCGTTATTTCAGCGGGAGAATCCAACATTTTATGATTGTCATAAATAAACCGAATCGCCTGTCGTTGTACCATTGCCAACTTCCATATGCCTTCCTGAGTAAATCAATCCCAATATATAGTGGCGTACCGTAACTTTGACCGAACAAATATGTTATGGTTGCGTGACTTCGAGTGGGTCAATTCGTTCTTTGACTTTCGTCTGATGAGACCAACTTTCTTCATGCCAAGTCACATGTACTTGCTATATGAGAAAACCTTATATATGGGTGTCGGCTGTAAGGTTTCGCCAAGTTATTTATAATTGCCTTTCAGAAAAACGCAAGTGTTTCCGAACTTGTAAGTATAATCAACTGGTTGCTGTGTCTTAGTAAAGCCTAAAAGAACTAGTTTAACTAAATTTACCTCCACTCTCGAGACTTTCTACCACTGCGTAACGGACTACAGACTTTCATCTTGAAAAACTGTATTTGTGCGCACCCATAGGGAGTTGGTCCTTTCGCACGCACACACACATACAAATATACCAGCACGCAGAAGTAGGCCTGTATTCGCAGACAGATATATCCATACATGCTAACCTGGTGAGTTGCGCTGAAGCATAAATGTTGCTATAAGCATGCTTGTGCTAAACTGAGGTGAACGTGCGGAGACATACGCCCAAATTTGCAATCTCAGGTTGCTGTTTTTGTTTTCGTTTGTTTGTATAGATAATGCCTCGTCATCAAAGCCGCAGGTGTACTTGAACGTGCTCATCTGCTGCATTGGATGAAGAGGAAAAGCTTTGTATTCTACACGACTTTATGCGGCAATGTTTTCTTTGTGCTAACGTGCAGAGACACACAGACACGAAAACACACAAAAAAACACGCACCGACAATCGCGGGCTTCTCTTTTCTTCATATGATACAACTTGAATTATGTGAGATTCAAGAATGGGAAGTTGATATGACTATATTTGGGAAATTTGGTGTAAGCAGTAGTTGCCATGGTTGCTTGGCGAGTTGTGACGTGGACGCCCACAGCTGTAACTGTAAAAAGGTGCAAACCAACACGGGAGTCATTCTGTGTTCCTGATACCAGCTGAATCTGTTTCCCAAGTCCTCACTAATTCTCTCCAATGTTTCGAACGTCCTACAGACTGGGTACATCCAGGCTGCCGCTGCATGGACCGAAGTTTCTACTGTGAAAATACTGGCCTTCAAAAGATACCATCAAACATTCCGGCTAACGCCACGGCTCTGTAAGTAAAGTTATGCGTAATCTGCCAAATACGTAGATTTGATTACCTTTCCCTTTGCATGAAATATTCAAGTGCGTTCAAAAGGCCACCAATTTCATAAAAAGAAGGGGGCTCAACTTATGATAACCTGTTTCACGAAGCAAGGTTGGCGGTGGCTACACTATAGAGTATTCTACGGTTTCAGTATTGAAACATTAGTAGTTTCCGATAACTCTTAAGAAATCTGATCATGTTCAAATTCAACTTTACGAACGAGCGTCCTGTCGATCGAGTCGATAATGAATAACGATGTTACTTCCTAAAAGCTGCAAAAAGAATATCAACTTTGTTCGGTCCCGCTAAGCAGGTTATAGAGGGGAAGGCTTACAGTGGCCCTTCGGGCCACGTTTATCGTAACAACAACCATAATATACACCAGCGGTCTCAAACACGCGGCCCCCGACTCGCGAGGATACGGCTCGCATGTTACAGTCTTCGAGTGCCCTTTCCCATGTCCCGAGCACTAGAAATGGCATGCTACATAATGATCCTATGTCGCCGATTTATTTTCGTTCGGCGCGTAGCTCTACTCTTATAACGGACTAAATATTTCATAATATGTTGCTTTCATTTGCCTCGCGTTTCGTTTTAATTTTGCTACCCAGTGTTCTTCCCACAAGGACGGACCCCGGCATCATCAACTCTCGCTCAGCAGGAGAAACTTCCATAGATAATAAACCTACAAGTTCGGGATGCTCGCCATCAAATATCATCACCTTTAAAATACAAGCTTTTTCTTCGAACTGCTGCTAGCGAAACAAGTCACAAAAAAAAACAAAAAAAAAACTGCCGTATATCTAAAAAAAAAATCGGGACTTGTTGGGCTGCAATAATTTCCGATGGAATTGAGATACGGGAATGATAGCGTGCTTGCTCTCATGTTGCATTTGAAAAAAAACAACAAAAAAAACACGTTGTTGGTGCAGTGTCATTTTAGTTCGTATTATATTAGGTAAGGGACAAAAGTAGTCGCATAAACATATGAAAGCTAAATTTGTCACTCCCAAACTGCGAGTTTACAAAAAACGGAGAGCGCGAGGTCCTTTCTCATTTACATCTCTAACCCCCTTTCCGGGGATTTGGCTATCAGGCCCCCACAGTAGAATGAGTTTGAGACCTCTGGAATACACAAACTCAAATCTTTTACGTCACGCCTCACTGGGGGCGCTTCGGACGGACTTTCGGTCTAGTGGTGTGAACGAAAGTCATGCGGAACTGGCATTTCATTGTTGTCATAGACAAAACCAGACTGAAACCTGCCTTTTACTCAGAGCGCCGCGAATAGGGAAGTACCAAAAGGGCCCGAAAAGGTTGAAGACAAGCCTTTTTTGTGTTTTATGCCTGCTCGGTTTGCCCGAGCACGTGGATAGGTGCTGTAAAAAGAGAAAACATGACAACGTCGGGCCACGATTGCTCGGACGGGAAGCACTTTGAATTGATTTCACGAATATTTCTGGGTGTCAGATTTATTTGTTCTTTTTTTTTTCAACAAGAACACGAGAATACCGTAAAGTTACCCAGACTAACCGCGGACCACGTTCAGTGAGGCTTCAAGTTCAAACAGGCGTTTGAAAGTTCAAACTGCCGTCTGCCCACGGCAGGGGCCAGTAGAACAAACGTTCCGATATGAAGTAAGTGCAGGCCCAAAATACTTAAGTTTGGAGTCTGTTTGAGGTAAGTAGGCTCGGTGCAAATAGTACGTACAAATATATGTTGATCATTGTTACCAGTGGCCATCGCCGACTCGCTACGCCGGATTCACTTGATCAGATTCTGCCTTCGATTTTCAGTATCGACGTCGAGCGTCGCAGTCACCGTACAGGCTTTTGCTGTCCGAAAAACATCGCGACCAAAAATTGCGAGTAGAATCTCATGATGCGAATCAGGCTTTAGCGTACATACTGCGACGTTCACGCGGATTAGATCGTCACGTGTCACAATATGTACGCGAAAGTCTCCGGTGTAACGAGCCCTGTTAATTTCGCTCAGCCACTTAACTAGTAAACTATTGCTAGGAAGACGTGGAGTCAAATATTAATACGGGAGAATGAGCACAAGGACTCACAGCGACGCCGACAAAATTATATTCCAGTGGTTTCCTGATGCGGGAGGCGGCGCTTCTTGCCCACATCCCATGCGCATGCGCGTCGCCGGTGGCGCTTCGCTAGAGTCTTTCCGGTTGGCTTGCATGTGTAGAGTGTACAAGCGAAGAAACTTTCGTTCTAAAAGAGCGTTTAAATTTTGTGGCACTCTTTCCAAAGTCAATTTGCCCTAAACTCTCCAGCGCTCCTCAACTTGAAGGCGTGCGAGGGTCCCCCTTTTAGGTCTACCGTACGAGTAAGCAAGCATAAAGGAGGAAAACATGTATTTCATTTAGTTAATGTTCTAGAGTTTTTTTTTTGTTTTTTTTTTTAAATCGAGACACAATTGATACGCCAGGTTGGCCGAGTTCTTAAGGCACAATTACGAATCAGGATACAGGTAGACAGTTACTCAAGCGTCCAAACACGCAAAAGATACATTCACGCAGGGCTGAACACACAAAAAATACTCACACAGCGCTTAACTGTAGTTCAGCGCTGTGTTGGTGTATTGTTTGTATTTGAAATTTTGAGTAACTGTCAACCTGTGCGCTGGTTCGTAATTATCGTCACACAGCCCATCAGGACTGAATGGGATTCGGGACTTACTGTTTACACCTTACCCCTAGATTATTAAGAACGTTTATGTTCTTCATAAAATCAGTTACCCTAATGTTGGTTCTGTTGAAATGCACCATGTTATTTTTGGCTGTGTAAACTCGCCGAGATCACCTGTGTTTCTTCTTTTCAAAGTTTCGCGTCTACATACCTACGTGAGTTTAATGGAATATATCTCGAAGCGAACAGGAATATACTCAGAAGAGAATATACACGGCATTAATTAATTTTCATTCCTAAAATTTACATAAAAACGATTTCTGGACGGCCGTGCCTTACAAACAAACTAAATGTTGGTAAAAAAAATTATTTTAAGGCGAAGTAAGTCACATTCTCTCATATTGGTCACAATGTAACCAATGCTACAAAGAACACAGACAAAACAATAAATAGAAACAAAATAAATATTACGTGTGTGGCCTCCTAAATATATTGTAAATTTATCCTACAAAATTTTGGAAGATCACTTAGACAATTGCGAACTTGCCAAGTATCTCTAACAATCATGGAGGGGAGGTCTCCCAAAACAAATCAGCAGCCGTTTTAACAAATAGTTTGTATCTGTTTATACAGAGGAACAGTTTACTCTACCATGAGATGCAATCTCTATTTCGTCTACTGCAATATAGGGTGTCTGAAATACACAGGCTGTATCAAAAATGTGCCGTAAAAATCGGCGCCTGCACAAAGCAATCTCAACTTTTCGTCAAAGGTTTTATCTCGCAAAAGTCAATTTTATCACGGAAAATTTCAAAGTGTAGCTCGCTTTCTGAAAGATATAGGGCCAAAACACTTGCCAGGGTCAACAGCAGACGGCGACACAGACTCGTTCCATATATATATATTTTAGTAGGGTGCGTTGTTGGGCTAGATGGTTCATCTTAAAAAAACATATAAAATAGCGCAAAAAAGACAAGGACAAGAAGTATACAGGAGAGACGCTAACTTTCAACTAGTTTTATTCAGGAAAAGTAAACATATATATACACATGACAGGCAAGGCAGCACCACGTAAAAGTTGATTATTTTTATCCGATCACTCAAAAACTGAAATTCATTACAATGAAGTACAATAGAAGCGTCGCTTCTCTTTTACTTCATTGCTATTTTATAGCTATTTTCATCGGTATTTTTTGTATGTTTTACTATATATATATATGGGTGATTTCATCTCAACTCAGGCACAGATTTAGGGTAGAATTTTTAATTATGACAAAACAAAATATATATGTTTTGGGGAAATTTCTATAATAAAAGTAGATGCAAACGGCGATTTCGACGGATTTTTCTTTTGTTTTCAAGTTATGGACCGTTGACGCGGCCAAGGTGGAAACTGACGTTTTCCCAGCTTATCGGAGTTGCCATATTTCACTCCATCCCTCTTCCCTACTTTTTACTCTACATCAATATAACTTTTTGGGAACGCTCTAGACATAGGCTTTTTTATGCTAATTAAGCTTCTAGGTCATAACAATCTTAATGATTTTTTTTGATTTGTCAAACTGCCTCTCTGCGACGATATTTGACGAAGTTCAGCAAGCTGTGCTGTGTGGCCTAATCAACATATTTTTATGATCTTTATACCACCGTAAAGCTCTAACTACGCTCTTTCTTTTGAGTATAATGTTAATATTTTGCAATAAGCACATAGTGCGCTACATGTGCCCGAAGAACGAATATTTCGAAAAACTGGCAAGTTTGGAGTCGATTTTCTGAAAACCCCCACTTTTTAATTCTTTTATTTTTTATTCACAGTTAGTTAATATAGTAGTCTATTAGAAACTACCAACAGAAATTGTAATATATTGTTTGTATTGACGCTCTTAAGAGTCGAATCTCGTGCTACGAGCATTTTGAACGGGACTTCGCATAGACGCTTAGCTGAGCAGAATTTTGACCTGGTTTTCTATTTAATGTTAGTATTTATTTCAATATCGGATCGTAAACGCCAGTGAAGTAACAATATTTATCCTAACAATATTTATTTACTTGGCACTGGCGTGATTTGCAAGGAGTGTTAGCTTCGCCCTATGTATTGACGGAGAAGATACGTAACATCTAGTCTCCCGGAAAAACTTAAGTCAAGAGGAAAAATTCTAAGTAACCCAGCATGAATCACTGAAAATAGAAATGAACTCTAAACACATCGCTAACACGTTGGAAGCCTTGCACGCTACGAAATGCTTGTTATTTTACGAAAAGGTCCGTAGCGCACAAAAAAAACCGTACTTCCTAAGCGTCAGATGCTAAATCGTACATATG